CTTGGGACCCCCGACCCCATGATTTCTTACCCCAAACCGACCGACACTCCCCTCCTCGCCCCCCTCCTCGGCAGCACTCATCACCCCCCTCCTCGCCCCCCTCTCCTCGGCCCGGCACCCCCGCCCAAAACCGACCGACACCCCCCTCCTGGCCCCGACATCCTCACCCCATGAAGCCTCTTCTCTTGGGATTCCCCACAAAAAAAACCGACACTCCCCTCCTGGCCCTCCTCCTCGCCCCCCCTCGTTCGGCCCGGCACCCCCACCCAAAGCCGACCGACGCCCCCCTCCTTGCCCCGACATCCTCACCCCATGAAACCTCTTCACTTGGGATTCCCCACAAAACCGACCGACACCCCCCTCATGGCCCTCCTCCTCGCCCCCCCTTCGGCCCGGCACCCCCACCCAAAGCCGACCGACGCCCTACCTGGCCCCGACATCCTCACCCCATGAAACCTCTTCTCTTGGGACCCCCCACCCCAAGATTTCTTACCCCAAACCGACCGACACCCCCCTCCTCGCCCCCCTCCTCGCCCCCCTCCTCGGCCCGGCACCCCCACCCAAAACAGACTGTATCCCCCTCCTGGCCCTCTTCCTCGCCCCCGCAAGACGCTCTTGGGGCCTCTTGGAGCCTGTTAAGGGCTTCTCGGGGCCTCCTGAGAGCCTCTCGGGGTGAAGACTCGGATTTTCGGTTCGTGTCAACCCTCTTGGCTCCATCTTGGGCCGTCTTGGGGCCCTCTCGGGCCGCCTTGGGCGCCTCTGGCGCCGTCTTGGGACCCCCGTGGGCTGTCTTGTGACCGTCTTCGAGGCCTCTGGGGATGCCTTGGAGAGGAAATTGAAGCCTCTTAGGCCGTCGTGGAGCGTCAGGGAACTCAAAGGCGAGAACTCGAAAATCGATCAAAAGCCAAAGGACAACAAATTAGTTGTGCCTCCTGGGGCTGCTTGGGAGCCATTTTGGAGATCTCTTGGGGCGTCTTGGAGGTCTCTTGGACAGTCAGGGACCAATTCTGGGGTGATCTCGAGCGGTCATTGGTCGTTTTCGTTGTCTGGAAACGCCATTTCTGGCAATCCAGGGCCGTCTTCGGGCGACTTTACAAGGCCCCCAGCGCCACGGCAGAGCCCCCGGGCACCCCGGTGCGAGGGCCCCGTCCCGGGCCCCGCCTCGTGCCCGCGGCAGGGGGTGGGTGCGCCGTCTCGGCGCCCTCATGGGGGCCTGTTGGGGCGACATTGGGTGTCTGAAATCCATCAAAAACCTCAGGACAATCAATGATTTTGGCGTCCCTTTGGGCCGTGTTGGAAGCCTTGTGGGCCGTCCGGAGGCCATCTTGGGCGTGTTCGAACGATACGTCCTCGTTTCGGGCCTCTTGGGGGCCTCTTACGGCCCTTTTCGTCTGTGTTGGGGCTTTCTTGGGCCGTCTGGGGGCAGCCCTGGGCTGTCTCGGCGCCCTCTGGGAAGCCTGTTTGGAAGATTTCTGGGTGTCCTGGACCGTCCTCCTTCAACGTCGGCGGCACTGGCCGTAAGACTTCCTGGGAACATGATTTGTTGGGATGTCGTTGGACGTCTCCGGAGGCTTCGGGGCCTGACGCGTTTCCGAGCGTGGCGGCAGGTAGCGCTGCTTGGGACTCTCGTTTCTTTATCCTGGCAAGCGTTTAAAGAACATGGTTTGGGGAGAGGGCGGCAACCCGAGAGTCATGTTCCCGAGAAGCTTTCCGGGAGCATGACTTGTTCGGCTCTCTTAAGAGGGGGACCTCTGGGGGCTTACCAAGGGGCCCTTTTTGGCCTTGTCGGCAAGCCTATTGGGAACATGGCTGGGGCGGTGGGCGGAAGCCCAAGGAATCATGTTCCCGGAAAGCTCCTTGGGAAATACGATTTACCGAGGTCTCTTGGGGGCCCGCAGGGGGGCTTCCCTGGGGGCCCCTTGGGGGCTTATTGGGGCTTCCGGGGGGCCTTTTGGGAGCCTCACGGGGCTTCTTGGGAGCCTCTAGATGGCCTCCGGGGGCGTCCTAGGAGCCTCTCAGGCCGGAGACCTTGAAATGTTGCGCTCTTCGGGCCCTCTTGGGTCGCTCTTGGGTCTCTCTTGGGGCGCTCTCGAGGCCCTCTTGCATTATCTGGGGAGCCTCCTGAGACCTCTGGTCTTTCATGGGAGCCGCTTCGGCCGTCTTTGATCTATCTGAAGGGCCTCTGACGCCGACCAGGACCGTGGGGAGGCGGAACATGCGAGAGCGCAAAAATGCGGGGCCCTTTGGAGAGGGCCTCTGGGGGCGCTCTTGGGGCGTTTTGGCGGCGCCGTCGGCCGTCCTGAGGCCCCTCTCCATCATCTCCACGTTCCTCGTCCTACACCCGCTTGGGAAGTACTGCGATTGTTTGATCAATTTCTTGCCCCAGTCATAATGTTGTGTGGGCTGCGGCCGACGACGGAAAAATCGAATCTCGCAGAGCCCCGTGCGAACATTGAAATTGAGGGGTGCTGGGCGACGAACCGCGCGCGAGAGTTGCATTTGTTTCGAAGGTTGTGTAATGCCTCAAAACGGTAGAAGAAATTAGTCTGGGGGGACAATTAAAAAAGAATTATTCCCAACGCTGTGGTGCACAGATAGAAAACACAAGGAATGCGGGGCCAACTGGACCGCCGGGCACGTCCCCGCGACCGCCCTGGCGCTCCGCGTGCAGGGGCGGAATCCTGCGCACCCCCTCTCGGCGTCAGGCCACGCCGGCCACCCCCTGCGAACTTAGGATTTTGGGAGCCGACCAACATCAAGCCATTCAGCCTCACAACGAAAAGCGGGTGACACGTGTCAACTCCCGAAGCCGCGCGAGAAAAAAATGTAAATCTGCGATGCTGGGAGCCAGCATAAGGCCATTGAGCAAACATAAAACAACGGGTGGCACATGTCGCCCCCGAAACAGCGTGAGAAAGAACAATTGGAAAGGTGGGTTTCTAGGAGCCCGCAAAACGCCATTCAGACTCACAAAATCAAGAGGTGACACGTGTCGCCCGCAAAACCGTCTGAGAAAAACAATTGTTACCCTGGGATTCTGGGAGCCAACATGAAGCCATTCAACTTCAAAAGAAGCAACGGGCGACACGTATCGCTCTCGAAACCGCGTGAGAAAAGACATACGTAAGTTTTGGATTCTGGTAGCAAACATTCGGCCATTCAATTTCGCAACAAAAACAACGGGTGCGACGTGTCACCCCCGAAACCGCGTGAGAAAAACACGTGTGAATGTGCGCCGTTAGGGGCCAATACAAAGCCATTCAGCCCCGCAAAACAAAAGGTGACACGTGTCACCCTCGAAACGACGTGAGAAAACCGAGGTGTATATGTGGAAGTCTGGGAGCCAACATAAAACCATCCAACCTCGCAAAAACAATGGGCGACACGTGTAACCCCCGAAACCGTGTCAGAAAAAACGAATTGCAAATTTGGACTTGTGGGAACCATAATAAGGCAATTCAACTTCACAACAAACAACAGCAGCGGGTGACGCGTGCCACCCACCCCCCAAACCGCGCGGGGAAATCAATTATACATTTAGGATTCCACGGGCCGACGTAAGGCCATTCAACTGCGCAACAGCAGCGACCGTCCCGCGTCATCTCCGAAACTGCGTGAGACAAAAACAATTGTAAATGTGGGGTTCTGGAAGCCAGCAAAAGGCCATTCAGCCTCGTAAAAAAAACCAGTGACACGTGCCTCCCCGAAGCCGTCTGAGAAAAAACAATGTTCAATTGGACTCTGGGGAACAACATAAGGCCGTCCAACTTCACAACAAAGACAACGGACGACACGTGTCACCCCGAAACCGTGACATAATAACCAATTGTAGATTTGAAAATCTAAAACCAACATAATGCCGTTCAGCCTCAAAAGCAACCGGTGACATGTATCACCCTCGAAGCCGCGCGAGAAATATCAATCTTAAACTTGGGATTCTGGAAGCCAACATAAGGCCAGTTAGCCTCGCACCTCGCGCGAGAACTGGACGCCACCGCGCGCACGCGCGCGCGCAGTCGCGCGCGTACGTACGCACAGTGTCCCAGTAAGACGAAAACTACCTACTCGACGACCGAAATAGCCTGCACACCTGCACGCATACACCAATGCATGCGCGTGCGTGCGTGTGTATACGCAGTGCAGTGTAGTGTAGTGTAGGATGGAGTAAGTCGAGTAGTGTAGAGTAGAGTAGAACAGAGCAGAACATAACAGAGTGGGGGCGATGGTAGAGTAGAGTCGGATTGACTCGAATCAAGTGGAGTAGAGTGGGGTCGAATCCACCCGAGTCCAGTCCAATCTGCTCCAGTCCAATATGATGCAATCCACTCCAATCGACTTCATTTCAATATTGTCAACTCTTTGTGGTCTGCGCTGGCTGGTATCTGAGAAATCTGGAATCCCAAGCAAAACATCAAAATCCCCTACACCAATTGGAACCCAACTGAAATTCGATCGGGATCCCATTGAAGCCCTCTGGATCTGCGATCTCCCCCGTTCTACTTTGGAATACATCAGGAATCAATTGGAATACGATTGTTGTTTAGACCTCGGACCAGATCCATTCGAATTGGAATGTAAGTGGGGTGCAAGTAGGATCAACTTAGAAGCCTCTAGATCTGGAGTTTCCTCCGTTCTAGTTGGGCTACACCATATCCAGAAGATTCCTGGTCGATACGGCTGGGATTCCAAGACGAGTTCAATAAGATCTGGAAGGCCCTAGCTAAAGTGGGTTTCAATCCGATTTGAATAGAATGGCGAATCGGAACGAATAGAAATCGCACAGACCGAAATATTCGCACACTCCAGTTGAACTTGAATATGAACCCAATCGGAACACAAATAGGTCACCAGAACATCATGCATTGCAGGCTCCATCGGGATCATTACATCATATCATCGCATCGCTTGGTCGTAACCAAATGAAGCGGTAGACCCCCACCGGGGTGGGGCGGGGTGGGGGAGCTCACCAGGTTTGCCCCCTAGGGAACTACCGCAGTCTTCTCCTCTCACAAATGGACGCAAGGAGGGAAGTGGAGACGAAGCAGGGACTCTCTTCATTGTGGGAAATTGTCCGTCTCACTTGAAAGCGCGCTGCGCTGGCACACGAACTGTCTTGCCCGAGCGCGAGCGATGCACGTGAACCGTGACATTGGGCGCGTGGCCACAGATTTGCAAGATCTGCTGGCAACTGCACAAAACACTGGATTGGGGGACAAGCCGCCGCAGGCCTCAGCGATAGGCCGAACAAGTACGGCAGCCGCCGATGTTCAGGTAACCGGTCTTCGAGCAGGTGCAGCCATCCGCCCCACACTTCCCTTCCTTCTTCAGCTTGGCGTCATTGATCACGGTCGAGGGTCGAAGGTCGATCGCGCCGAGGGTGGGGCACTCGCCCGCGCCTGCCGAGGAAGGGTCCAGCGGCGGAGACGTGGTGGTGGCGTCGTCAGTCGAGTCGCTTCCTGGGCACCCGTTGGGGCAGCACTTGCATGAAGAGGCGGCGGTATCGCCTGGGCCAATGTCGCCGCAGCACATGGAGCCGCCGAAGCATACACCCCCCACCGCGGCCGTGCAGGCCGAGGAACCGCTCGGTGCGTCGCCGGGCATACCCGGAAAGGAAGGGCGCGCAGTGTGCAACTGGGCAAAGGCGCCGTCGTCGTCGGACTCCACGTCGTGCACCTGAGGCTCGGCGCCCCCGTCCGAGCACTGGCTGTCCGCACGGCACCGCGAGGCGGCCAGCGCAAGGACCGCGAGCAGGGGAAGCGGAAGCCCCATGGCGAGACGCGGGCCTGCGGCGGGCGAGGCGGGCAGCTGCCCAGCGAGCAGGCGTCGAGGCAGCAAGTGAGCCAAAATGGGTACTGAGGGTGCAGACGAAGAAGAGAAGCATGTGGACGCAACGGGGATGAATTGCAAACATCAGCAACTCTCACGGCGGACGCTCCCGCCTGAGAGAAGAGAAGTTCTAGGAGAATGAGGCTCACGCCTGAGGGGTTCCAAGCAACGCTAAGAGGAAGAGGCCTCGGGCCTGAGAGAACCCCAAAAACAAAACGCCAAGAGTACGACACTCACCACCTGAGAGGCACCCCCAAATACGCTAAGAGGAAGGAACTCCCCGCCTGAGAGATCCCCAACACACGCTACGAGGAAGAGGCCTCGGGCCTGAGAGGTCCACAAACCACGCTAGGAGGAAGAGAAGCCCACCGCCTGATAGGCCTCAAACAGACGCGAACAAGACATCGCTCCCCGCCTGAGACGTCCCAAACAAACGCGACGAGGAATAGGTACCCCCTCTGAGATAACCCAACAATCTCGAAGAGGAAAAGACCACCCCCGCCTGAGAGGTCCCCAACACACGCTAAGAGGAAACCGCTCACGCCTGTGAGGTCCCAAACAAACTTAGTGAATTGGAGGCTCACGCCTGATAGGTACCAAAGAAACCCACAGAAATCCACGATGAAGGTCTCTCACCCTTGCAATTGCCCCAAACATCCTAACACCCACAACTGCACAGGAGAACCGACACGGGGCGTATGTTGTCCCCATCCTACTTAAGCCCCGCATCCCAGAAATAATTTCGAGCACCCAGACAAGTGTCGAAAGAGTGTCGAAACAGTGTCAGAACAGTGTCGGACGAGTGTCTCCCAGTGCCCGACACATGACAACGTTCGAGTTTCGGTACTTTCTGCTGGCGCTCGAAATCCTTTCTGATGATCGGCTGAAATAGGTTGCGACATCATAACACGGAGCTCCAAATGTGAGGCGGCTGTGTCGGTTCTCCGCTGGATTTTCTTTGGGGGCAGTTAAATAAAGAGAGGGGGGACCTTCCTCTTGGGTGTCGTTGGATTTCTGTAGGACTTCTGAGGCGGGAGCCTCCAGTTCACTGAATTGTTGTTCGGGACCTCTCGGGCGGGAGCTTCCTTCTCAGCGTGTGCTGTGGGGCCTCGCAAGCGGGGGGGTGGCTCTTCCCCGTCGCCGTTTGAGAGGCTTCTCGGGCGGGGCGCCGCTTCCTCCTAGCGCTCTGGGGGGAACCTCTCAGGCGGGGAAGGTGAACGTGTTCTCATTATGCGGTTCGACCTTGGGCGGAAGAAGGGGAGGGAGGGGTCTGGCTCAGTTCGACTGCTCGCAACAGTGCGTCCGATGGGGGAGGCCCCACCTGCTCGAAAGAGGCGCCAAAAACAGCCAGGATCCACTCCATTGGGGGGAAGGGGGATGCGACGGTGGGTGGACTAAAAGTGTCCACACGTGTCTCGCCAAGACCTTGAGTCATTCACGTACGTCGGACCAACATGCATACCCCCCTTTCCCCAAACTCAAAGTTGACGGGCTTAGGCGGTAGGCCAAAGGCCAGGGGCAGAATGTGGACACTTCAACTCTGGGTTTTGGGGGGGAGGGGTGCGAAGCAAGGGCATTTCGGAGTTGTCGCTGTTATCATGCTGCATTGGATTCCGTCGTTGGTCTGTTACTATAGAGGAAGCTATGAGGCAAACGTTGAAACACAGATTCAGC